AATTCACACATGACACTGGGCATCCACCTTGTGTTTCGGCATCGTCAGTTCACTTACTGACCCTCAGAGTTGTGCCTTATCATCCCCCTGCCCTGCCCTCCAGCAGCTGATGAGACAAGCAGCTCAGAGACTTCAAAACTTTCTCAAGGGTAAGTGACCCGCCTAGTAAGAAGCAGCACTGGGAACTTGACTTCCAGCCCAGAGCCTTTCTCCAACAGCATCATCACCTGAGATGTCACCATACAAGTAGGTGCAGCCTGGATGGCAGGGTGAGAGGACCGCAGCATGACAGGGGCCACACTCCAAGCTGCCCTCCCCACACCCTCAACCCTGAGCCTCTCCCGTGGTGCCCTGTCTGGGATCCCTGTTCTGGCTTGTGGGCCCATGCCCTTAATTGGGCAGCAAGCACTCTTAAACACGTACACACACCATCTCATATCTCACAACAAAACTGAGGCTCAGAGAGGTTAAGTGACATGCCCAAGGCCACCCAGCAAAAATAGCACCCAAAGTCCATGCTCTTTCCATTCACTGGTGACTCTGTGTGTGGGTTCCATTCAATGGGCACTCTTAAGTGTCCACACTGCCCTGGTACGTGGCCAGCATCCTCCTATCGTGTTTGTTTTGACCCCAGGTCCACAGCACAGAGATGGGTTCAGGGATGTCCCTGCCTTGCAGGGCTCCCGGTCTGGAGAGGAAGCCAGGCAGAACAGCTGGTCACCATGCTCTGTGAGCCCTCTGGTGCGGCCACAACAAACGGACACAAACTGGGTGGCTTAAAACAACAGAAATGCATCTCTCATTGTTCTGGGGGCCAGAGGTCTGAAGTCAAGGTGTCGAAGACAGGGTTGGACCCCTCTGAGGAGGTTCCCAGACAGAGTCCATCCCAGGCCTCTCTGCCAGCTCCCAGTGGCTCCGGGCAGTCTTTGGTGTCCTTTGTAGCTGCACTGCTCCGATCTCTGCCCCTGTGTTCACATGGCTGCCTTCTCTGTGCTTCCGGCTCGGTGTCCTTTTTCTCACAAGGACCCTTATCATTGGATTTTGGGACCATCCTAGCGCAGGATGGTCTCATTTCTAGACCCTTAATTACATCAGCAAAGACCCTCTTTCCAAATAAGGTCACAGTCACAGGCATCAGGGGTTAGGACTTAGACATCTCTTTGGGGGAATGTATTCAACTTACTGCGTGCATGGTGACCAAAAAGAGCCCACAGGAGCCTGGGCCGAGGAGGAGAAAGGGCGGACAGTCCCGCAGGAGTGGAGAGCCACTCTCAGGCTCTCTGAGAACCTGCAAGAGATAGATCCTGTCATCGGTTGCCCGTCCCCCAGCGACGGTCTACTGAGCACCTACTGTGTGCTGCGGCGGGCTTGAAGAGCACAGTGCGTCTGATACAGACCCGGGTCTCACTCTCTCCACGGTTCATACACTACTTGCTGGGGAGTCAGAAAAGAAGCCAAGGAGTGGAGAGAAATAATGGCCAGTGGTGAAAAGTGCTGTAGAGCAAACAACATAGGGGTTGGAGAAAGGAACTGTCCAGCCTGGGGCGGGGGCAGGGCTGGGTGGGGCTGGGGGAGCCCGGGAAGGCCACGCTTAGGCTGAAATGCACAGAAGACAAGCTGAGAGCAGCCTTTCCCACAAAAGGCCCTGGAACCAGTGTATGCACGTGCACCTAACAACCGCCACCATCTCAGGATGGAGCCTCCGCTTAAACGTACCCTGCAAACCTATACATCTTCCAAATGATGACAGAGGGGGAAATGGAGATGACCTTGGGTTCGGTAATGACTTTTTAGGTACAACACCAAAAGCACAATTTGTGAAGGGGAAAATCGATGAACTGGCCTTCATTAACATGAAAGACTTCTGCTCCGCCAAAGACAAGCCATGGACTCGGGGGAAGTCTTTGCAAAACACCGACCAGGCAAAGGACTGGCGCCCAGAGCATACAAAGAACTCTCCAAACTCTGTAATAAAACAAACAACCCAGTTAAAAACTAGGCCAAAGACCTGAACAGACACCTCACCAAAGAAGATATGCACATGGCAAATGAGCATGTGAAAAGATGCTCCGCATCATGTCACAGGAGGGCTGCGAATTCCAACAGCAATGGGAGACCACCACGTGCCCACCTGAGCGGGTAGAATATGACAACCTGACGGCAAATGCTGCCGGGGACCTGGAGCGACAGGAGCCCTCACTCACCCGTTGCTGACAGGGATGCAAATGGTACGGCTGCTTTGGAAGACTTTTGGCGGTTTCTTAAGAAACCTAAACATAACCTTATCTTACAATCCATCCATTGCATTCTGAGGTTTTTACCGAATTAATTTGAAAACGTATGTCCTGGCAAAAATCACGAACGTTGTGGCAGCCACATTTAATATATATTCAATATAGCAACTATGCCCCAAACTGGGAGCAACTGAGGCGTCCTTCAGTAGGTGGATGGGTCAGCTGTTACATCCAGGCCATGGAGCCTTACTCAGTGATAAGAAGAAAGGAGCTTTGAAGCCACAAAAAGACACGGAGAGACATTAAAGGCACATTGCTGAGGGCACAGCGCCAGGCTGAAAACGCTGCGTCCTGTGTGACTCAGCTGCGGAGCCCTACTGGGAGGGGGGGAGGGAGGGGGCAGAGGTGGTGCGGTGGCGCGGGAGACTCGGAGGACAGAGAAAGGACTCTATGTGCTGCTCCAATAGCAGATGCGCAAACGCTGTGCATCCCTCAGAACCTGCAGAGTGTACAATGCCGAGAGCGAACCCTAACGTCAACAGTGGACTTTAATCAATAATAATGAACTAACAGTGGCTCTTCAATTGTGACAAATGTGCAACATGAAGACAAGGTGTTACCAATAGGGGCGCTGTGCGTGTAAGGCGGGGTAGAGGAGAACTCTCTGCACTATCTGCTCATTTTTTTCTATAAACCTAACATTGCTCTAAAAAAATAAAGTTCATGAGTTAAGGGGTGGGAGGAGATGAGCCAGCGCCAAGCAAGTGGGAAGTGAGAGGAAGGAACACATGATGGAAGGCGCAGTGAGTGAGTACAAAGGCCCAGAGAGGGACAGATTCTCTGTGCACTCCTGGTCCTGCAAGGAACCTGCGAGTGGGGACAGGGATGGGCTGCACCGAGCTGCAGCAGCTGTTGGGTGTGGAGGAGAAGACCAAGGCCTGCAACTACCTGAGAATCATACTCTTGGGGACCAGATTTAATTCCCTAAATCTTTCCCTCATTAGCATATGGGGAAACTTAGGCTCAGAAAAAGGCAACAAGAAAAGCACTTGAAGAGAGCTCACGGGATGTTGCCAGCATGTCCACAAACACAGAAAGAGCCCACACGACCCTCACATATCCCTTGGGGGTGAGGTACTATCATTGCTTGCATTTCACACATGAGAAAGCGAGGCCAGAGAGGCAAAGCCACTTGCTCCAGGTCACACGGCGAGGGGTCAGCAGTCAAGCTGACTCTCAACCATCACCGTGGCAGTTATAGGAGACATGTCTGAGCTCAGCAACTATGCCTGGCACTGAAGCACATCTGGGTCCCTCCTGCCTGACAAATAGGGCTTATCAACAAGTATTTGTCTAACCTATAGTCACTGAATCTCGATGAGGTGGCACGCCTTTGAGGCTGCTTCCAGCTGGGAGCGTCCAGCACTGTGGGCTCAAAAAGGGTTCCTTGGCACCTGTGTGGCCAAGGCCATCCTCTCCCTCCCCGGTGGCCCTGGTCTATGGCACTCCAGCTGCTCAGTGGCAAAGCCCTTCTGGCTCCCAAGGAAGGCTCCCAGGGCAGGAGCGGCCTGAGCCACTCACCACCTGGCTGCGGAACCACCGCTGGCCCTGGCTGCTGACCCAGGCCTGGATGTGGGCTCTGCAGTCAAAAGCTTGCAAGATGCTATCCCTCCAGTGCCCACATGGCTCCCCTTTTCTCAGGTCTTAACTCACACAACTCCTGGGTGAGGTTCAAGATTTTACCTTCCTCTCCATCATATTCTCACTTCCTCTCTCCCTCCCCTGCTTTATTTTTCCAAAACACACCTATGTCCAATATCCTTGTTTATTTTACAGCCCCCTCCCCACTAGAGTGGAAGACTCCAAGGGCAGGGGGCTGTATCTGCCTGTTGGCTGCTGTGTTCCCAGTGCCCATACAGTGACGGAGGAAGTGACAGCCCCTTAATGGCAGGACAGTGGTGTGGGGGACCCAGATGGTGTATTTAAGATGCCCACCTGGCAGGCTCACTTCCTGTGGCCCCCACCCGACTGGTCTTGCCCTGAGTCTCTCCACTCCAACAAGTCAGTGAAGCCACCAGACCTGCCTGCAACAGCAGGGCCCGCAGCCTGTCACAGTGCCTCCTGGGCCGCAGTTTCCCAGCTCTGAAGGGCTTCCTTGAGGGACAGTGTCTCCAAGACATTTCTTGACGTCATTATGCAAGATTTTGCCGGGGTTGATGGCCATAACAACGGGACAGGCTGAATGGCCCCCAGAAAATAAAGGGTTCAGTCTCTCCATCTGTCATGAATCTTGACAACCTCAATCTCCCCTTCCATCAGGGTTTCCGGGTAACCCCACCCTGAGGTCTTTGGGCCTAGTTACCTCACCCACCTAGGGTTCTGGGGGCCTTCCTAAGGCTGTGGGGCCAATCGCACTACCCATCAGGGATTCTGGGGAGCCCTGTGAGGCGTTGGGGCCCATTCACCCCATCCATCGGGGATCCCGGGAGGCCACGGGACCCAGCTCGCAGTCCCGGGTCCCGGATGCCACCCCCGCTCCAGGTCCTCCCCATCCGCGCGCAGGCGGGAGCCCAAGGGGTGCCCCGGGGATCCCGTCCCGCGGCTGTTGTGCTGTGCGTGTTGACGCCGTTGCCTGGGAGACGCGGGGGCGGGTCCTGGCGGGAGGCGCGGCCTGCAGACGCGAGAGGTACCGGCCAGAGCGCAGGGCCCTGGCGGCCGCAGTGGCCAGAGCTGCCGCCGCCCGCCGGCTTATATACTGCGGCTAAATTTAGGCTGCGCCCGGAGCTCGTCCCCATCCGGGACGCGTTTCCGCCGCCGCCGCCTTGGCCCGGCCCCCGCGCACCGCGGCTATAAGGCTTGGGCGGGACGGCCGCGGCCCGCATAGCCGTCCCCGCCCGCCTGTGCCCCACTAGTTGCTCACCGGTGTCCGAAACCGCGTCAGCCCCGGGTCCCGGCCATGGCGCTGAGCGAGCCCATCCTGCCGTCCTTCTCCACTTTCGCCAGCCCGTGTCGCGAGCGCGGCCTGCAGGAGGTGAGGGCGGCAGGGACCGCGGGGGCGGTCAGCTCAGGGTAGTAGAACGCGGGCTGCGGGGTAGAACTCAGGCGGCGGGGATGGCGGGCTCAGGGTAGGAGAATCTAGGAGGCGAAAACGGCGAGCTCAGCGCAGTCGAGCTCTCGGCGGTGGGGACAGCAGGCTCAGGTCCTAGAGAGAAGGAGGGGGGGCGGCGGCCCCGGGCCCCACCGCGCGCTCACGCCCGCGCTCCATCGCCCTGTCCCCCGCAGCGCTGGCCGCGCGCAGAGCCCGAGACGGGCGGCACCGACGAGGACCTCAACAGTGTCCTGGACTTCATCCTGTCCATGGGTCTAGACGGTCTTGGCTCGGAGGCCACCGCGGAGCCCCCGCCTCCGCCCCCGCCGCCAGCGTTCTACTACCCTGAGCCCGGTGCGCCGCCTCCTTACGGCGCCTCCGCGAGCGGCCTCGTGTCCGAGCTGCTGCCGCCGGAGCTAGAGGTGCCCCCGGGGCCGGCGCTGCACGGCCGCTTCCTGCTGGCGCCACCTGGCCGCTTGGTGAAGGCCGAGCCCCCCGAGGCGGACGGCGGCGGCGGCTACGGCTGCGCGCCCGGCCTGGCCCGCGGGCCGAGAGGCCTCAAGCGCGAGGGCGCCCAGGGCCAGGCCCTCGCGTGCCTGCGAGGCCCCGGGGGCCGCCCTCCGCCGCCGCCGGACACGCCGCCGCTCAGCCCCGACGGCCCGGCGCGCCTGCCTGCTCCTGGCCCGCGCGCCCCCTTCCCGCCGCCCTTCGGCGGCCCCGGCTTCGGAGCTCCGGCGCCGGGTCTGCACTACGCACCGCCCGCGCCCGCTGCCTTCGGTCTCTTCGACGACGCGGCCGCCGCAGCCGCCGCTCTGGGGTTGGCGCCGCCCGCCGCCCGAGGTCTCCTCACGCCGCCCGCGTCTCCGCTCGAGCTGCTGGAGGCCAAGCCTAAGCGCGGCCGCCGCTCCTGGCCCCGCAAGCGCACCGCCACTCACACCTGCAGCTACGCGGGCTGCGGCAAGACCTACACCAAGAGCTCGCACCTCAAGGCGCACCTTCGCACACACACAGGTGAGAGGCGAGGGTGGGCCGGGGCCGCGGCTCCGGGTGTGGGTGGAGGGGAGAGATCGGGGGCCCCCCAGAAGGCGTGATCCAGGAGACTGGGGAGGGGGCGTGGCTCAGGAGGTTGGGCAGGGGACAGCTTTTAGGAACCTTAGGGGGAACTCTGTCGCAGAATTTGGGGGGTGCGCACGTTTAGGTCCCCCCTGGGAGTGTGACTCAGGACTTTGGAAAGGGGTTGAGCACTTAGGGACTGTAGGGAGACTGTCTCAGGATGCTGGGGAGAACATGCACACTTAGGATCTCTCGGGGGGCGTGGCTCCAAACACTGGGGAGTGGACAGTGCGCGTTTCGGACCCCTGGGGGCCCCCTGAGGGCGAAAATCAGGAGCGGGGAGACAAGTTCCTAGGATCCTTAAATAAATGCTCAAAACGTAGGTGGGGGGGGGGTCGTCGCCTCAGGGACCTGGTTTTGGGTAAGTTGTGCTCTCAGAAGTGGCTACTGTATGGTGACTGTGTGCACAGGGTCCACGGATAGGCAGCTGGGTCACTGGGAGGGAAACTGAGGCCCGCTCTTGCCCCTCCCTGCAGGCGAGAAGCCCTACCACTGCAACTGGGACGGTTGCGGCTGGAAGTTCGCGCGCTCGGATGAACTCACCCGCCACTACCGCAAGCACACGGGCCACCGGCCTTTCCAGTGCCACCTTTGCGACCGCGCCTTCTCGCGCTCTGACCACCTGGCGCTGCATATGAAGCGGCACATGTAGCCTGGACGCCTCTGCCCACTCGCGCGCGTCCGTGGCGGGTCCCACGCGCCGGGCACGGTCCCCTCAAACTGTGACTGGTATTTATTGGGCCTAAAGGACCCGGCCGGGCACTGTGTGGCCACCGAGGAGGCTCCGACGATGACGACGATGCCACCGCCCTGGCCCCCGTCAGAGACTGAAGACCCGGCTGGAGAAGACCACGATCCTCCTTGACGAGTTTTGTTTTCAAAATGGTGCAATAATTAAGTGTGGTCTTCCGCCCACCGGGTCTACACTAGAGGATCGAGGCTTGATGCCTTGTGAAAAAAATACAGCCTTAATTTGTACTGTTTGCAACTTTTTTTTTATAATATTGTACATAGTGACTGTGACAGATATTGTATTATTGTAAATAAGGAGACAGGCGGGCATTTGCTGCCTGGTTCATTTTTTATAAGACTTTTGCTGTTTTTTTTAATTAAAAAAGTTTTGCATCTTTTTAAAAAATCACAGTACTGGTCTGTCTGCTTGGAAGCTGGGAGTGTGGGGCACTTGGAAAAGGCTGGGGAACCAGGCAGCTTTGATGGGAGGGCAGTGGGGGTGAAAGTGGGTTCTGGCCCCGCCAGCATTTGGCTCGCCAGCTGCAGTGCCCAGCTGCCAGGAACTGTGGGTTTTTCTATAAATTTAAACACTGCATTTTAGGACTGAGGGAGAGCTATTTTAAGGTTGTTCCCTGAGCCATAAATTGCCTTCTTTTCCCCAGAGCCGGGGAAAGTGCTGGGCCTAGTGACGTGGCCTCTCTGGGCTGAAAAAAGCCTTACTGGCTTTTGAAGCTTCTGAGGTTTCAGTCGAACTTCTAGCGTGTGCAGGCTCCCCGCCCCCCCCCCCCCCCCCCCCGTGGTGGTTGCAGGGGGAGGAGGGCTGGTGACGGTTGGTAAACGCACAAGACAAAATGTTAAGTTTCTGACATGCTCTGCCTTTTACTAATCGTGCCTTTATGCAGAATTAGGTTGTTTTTGTTTTTTCTTTTATTTTTAAGGAATGAGTTTCCCATCTTGTTAGGAAAAAAATGAGATCCACACTGGAGGGCAAAGTGAGGTGGCCGCTCTTCTTCCACCCGGGGAAACTGAGGTTCCGAGAGGTCGCTATGGAGTGGTGGCATTCTGGTTCTTCTCCAGGGTCCGAGACCCTGCTAGAGGGTCTGGGGGCTTTCTGCAGTAACGCACCTGTTGCTGGCATTGGAGGGACACGAGCTGCCACCCCCTTGCAGGTGCCTTTGTGAGACAAAATCACGTTCAGAGCCCCAGTGGATGGAGGTGGCCACTCCAGAAGCACCTCCTATGCAAAGGGTGACCATGCCTTCCAGCCCTCGTGCCTCAGTCAGCAAGGAGTTGCCCCTCCCTGACAGATCGCCCTGACACCCCTCATCTTCCCCCTTCTCATGGCCCTGGGTGGGTTGCCATGGCCACCAACAGTTGCACAAGTGTTTTCCAGAAAGTGAAAATAGCTCATAAGCAGTGCCCGTTTTAAAACACTCTCACCCATTGCGACAGAGGCTGGGATTTCCTCCCTCCCTCTATCCTTCCTCCCCCGGCCCCCAGGGCAGCCCTGGAAACAGCTGAAAGCATTTGGTAATTCAAAAAAGCAGAAATGGGAGATGACAATCTGGTGCAGCCTTCTCGAGTAAATAACCCGGCCTCCCTTCCACTGGTGGTGGAGGGCGCATGCGTGTTTGTGTGGGAGTCTCTTGTTCCCTCTTGCTCTGCAGCTTTTGCAAAAACTTCCAGAGTGGGATAGTGGCCCTCTGACCTGTAGAAATGCCCCTCTTTGCTCAGAGCTGGGTTTGGAGGCACTGGGGCAGAAGAAAGACAAGAATTTTCAATCATTTTCTGTAGAGTTCTCTAGTCTTTCCTGTTGAGTTTAAAGTTACGAGGAAAGCCATTTTTCTGCTTCTTCAAAAACAGCTCCCAGGTGTCCCAGGCCCCCCTCCCCCAGGCTTCTAAGTCCAATGAGAAGCCAATTGCAAGGGGACTGAGGCTGTTCAGTTTCGGTTTCCTGAGTGCCTCCCACTGATAGAGTGAAGTGTCATACTCTGTCATACTCTGGCATAGCTGTCTTTCAGCAAAACGCATGCCAGCAGGCAAAAGGCCTCTGACGCCGATCGATATGCAGGGATAGCCCTCCACGTCTGGTCTGCCGCTTGTTGAAACCCAGGTGTCACCTTCCATCTAAGAGCTTCTTGATGGCTGGTTCTCACCAGGGGTGACCCAGTCTGGAGAGATTTTTGGTTGTCACAACGGGGTGGGGAGCAGGTTGCTGGCATCTAGTGGGTGGGGACCAAGGATGCTGCCCAATATTCTAAAAAGCACCGGCAAGTCCCCTTCACAGAAAATGATAGGGTCCCTATCAACAAAGACACCAACAGTGCCAAAGCTGAGAAATCTGCTCTGGTTCCCAAAAGACCGTCATCATTTACTGCTGCTGCGAGCAAGCAGGGGACCCTGTCCCAGGAAGCAAGCTTCCATAGCAGATGCCGCTCGGAGAGAAATGTGGATGAAGTCCCACTCCTGGACCCAGGTCCCTGTGCAAGACACAGAACCCGAAGGCTTTTCCTCCCCATGAATGAAGTCCTAGAGTTCGTTCGAGAACACGTTACGTATCAAACAGAGGAAAAATATTCACCCTGCATTCTACAACCCAATTCCAATCTTTTTTTTTTTTTTTTTGGAGAGAGAGATTGCCACTCAGAGGTTGAATTGCTTTCACACGGCTGTGATTATTAACATACCCTTATTTTTTATAGGAAAGGTTATAACCATTTTTCCACATTTTTTCCCTCCATGATATGTCTTTATTATCCTTTTAAATGGCTGCATAATATTCCATTTAGTGGTGCCAGAAATTGCTTGTGCAAACAAGCATTGAGCATGCAGATACACAGTTGGCTGTGTTTCAGATTGTCCCGGGGGAGGGCCAGGGAAGGGCTGGAGGGGATAAAGGCTGGGGCCTTTGGGCAGTGCCAAAACAATCTTCCAGAGTGGCTCCAGTGATGGGGGTGAGGCACAGGAGCTGCGCTTTCTGCTGGCGTTCACTGTGTGTCAGAGGCCCAGCCAGCCTCCTGCAGGACGGCATGGTGTGAAGTGTGGGAGGGAGAGCCGTCAGGGGTAGGTTGAGCCTGGCACACACCTGACTCAGCACCCCGCCTCATCAGCAAAGCTGAGTGAGCACCCAGGCCTGCTAGCACCCTGGGGAGTCAGAAGGCATCAGAGCCAGGCAGCTCCCTCTGAAGGCTGGTGTGCGCCATTTGGGGCCAGATCGTTCTCTGGGACGGGGACTGTCCTGTGCACTGTAGGATGTTGAGCGGCATCTGAGGCTGCCTCCCGCTGGATGCCAGCCGCACCCATCCTCCAAGCTGGGACAACCAAAAATGTCTCCAGATATCACCAACTGTCCCCTGGAGGCAGTCACCCCAGATCGATAGCCACTGGGTGAGGGCTTCTGTGGACACCTAAGGATCTTGCATCTGTAAGTAGCTGACCCACTGAGGGCCTAGCATGCTGCGCACATGTAAATACACAGACTGAGTGAAAGGGAGAGGGGTGATTCACAGACACTGGGGAATCTCCCTGGTCTGCACCGTCCAACCCGCAGGAATTTAATCTGGTGTGTATTCTGAGCTGAGGACCTAAATCAAGTTTTCCCCCCACACAATTAACACAGCATTTTTCACCCTTGGCACTGCGGACCCCTGGGGCTGGGTCAGTCTCTGGGGTGCGGGCTGTTCTGTGCGTTCTAGGCCGTTGAGCAGCATCCCTGGTCTTGACCCGCTAGATGCCAGTAGCTCTCCCTCCCCGTCTTGGGACAACCAGAATGTCTGCAGACATCACCGTGTTCTCTGGAGGGCGACCAGTGCTTAGGCAAAACCATTCTCCCCATGGAAGCCCTCAGGTTGGCTCCATGGGCCTGTTTCCTTGTCTGAAGGTGAGGGTGCTGCGGCCAGGATTCAGGGACAGAACGGGACCAGTGCCCAGCAGTGGGGTGCGGTCAGCACTGTGGGTCTCCCCGGACGAGGTCAGTGTGCTGGCATCGTAAGTCTCCCTGCCCCCCACCATCAGTCTCCAGGTCTCTGTCTAGATACATAGATACACAGATACATATGTACACAGATGATCTTTCAGTCCTCTTTCAGTCTTCTTTCTTCGCTCCCTTTTTCATTTCTCAATCCCTTCTTCCTCCCCTCCCTTTCTCTCCCCTCCCATCTCTCTGTCTCTCCATCTTTCCCTACCCTCTTTCTTCTCTCTCTCTGCTCAGCCCACTCTCCCTCCCATTCATTCATAACCTGGACGCCTTAGCCCCAAGTGGAGTCCTAGGGAAGCAGAAGTGACTCAGAGGTGAGTCACTTAGCGTCAGCCCTTCACCCTGAGCCCGTTCTCTGCTGTTTGTTGAGTGACTGACCTGGTGCTGACTCGAACTGAGCTCTGGGGTCGGGCAGTTGCCTTTATCCCAGGCATTTGCACACCTCCTCGCTCTGGACCCTCCCAACAAGCCGGGGGAGTGGCAGGACAGCCGAGCCTGTTCTCCAGAGGCGGACGGTGGGGCTCACAGAGGGGAAGGCCACCCAGGCCCCGGTGCGGTGCAGGCAGTGTGGCCAGGGCTGGAGCCCAGGTGGACCAGTCCTGACCTCACAGCTGCTGCCCGAGCCTGGAAACGCTGACACGCGAACCGCATCAAGCTGCCCAGCTTTCCCCTCGTACGTGATCGGGGGTTCTCGGAAGCCCAGTGAGTCCCCCCGCCCAGGCCTCCGGCCGAACACCCTAGAAAGCTCATTTTCCAATAAAATGCGGGCGGGAAGGAACAGGGTCAGGTAACACAGGTGTTTGGGGAGGTCTGGCTGGGTGAAGAAAGTTCCCCGAGTGCTGCGATAGGAAGCAGACGGAGGCCTGGGGTGGCGGATCCCCAAAAAAGCTAAATAGAGAGTTACCATGTGATGCAGCCACCTGCTCCTTGGTGAAGAACTGAACGCACGGACCCAACAGATGCCTGTGCACTGCCCTCTCAGTGGCCACGACCCCAGTGTCCACCTCCAGACGAGCGGAGGACGAGACTCGGCCCATTCACACAGCTGGACGTCGCTTGGCCACGAGAGGGACTGAGCACCGACCTGCCCGGCCGTACGGGTGAACCGTGAAAACATGGTGCCGAGGGCGGGAAGCCAGACTCGAAAGTCACGCAGTGTGTCTTCCAGTGGGATGACACGCCCAGAACAGGCACGTCCACAGAGACGGCCCGTGGGCGGTGGTGCCGGGAGGCGAAGGGCCGCTAGTGTTTGACGGGGACGGAGTTTCTGCTGGAGGCGAGGACAGAGCTTTGGAAACAGATGGTGGGGATGCTTGCCTACCGGTGTGGATGTAGTTCATAGAGCTGAACCCTTAAAAATGGTAAATTTCATGTTATGTCTGTCTTACCAGTTTTTTGAAAAAGGCCCGGGCGTCTCCATAGGTGGGAACACG